AAAATATATCCAATCAACAAAACCGTTGAGAAAGGTAGGAGAAACAAAATTTACCTGAAATAAAAACCACAAATAGTTTCCTCTGATTTTTGGATTCAAGAATTGCTTCACCTATGGAACCCTTGAATGCCAATGATGACAGAGACTGCTCCATCTGCACGAACAAACAATAATCAACAATGACTATAGAGACAAAATCACACCCAGTAACAAATAGAAAAAGAAAATCAAAATTTCAAACTAAATACCCAAACAAAAACTACATAATCGCCAGAAGAATCAAAACATAAACAAAGTTCAATTATCTCCCCCGTAATAAAATCAAACCCCCTAAATCTCCAGGCATTCACTTCCCACATACCCTCAATTCCGAAAGCAAATTTCAAGCAAACCCAGAACACAATTTGATGAGACGACAAGAAGCAAGCCGAAATTCCGATCACCTGAACTAAATTCAGTGAAGATTAGACTAAGAAATTTGGAAAAGGATGAGGAGGGTCGGCAGTTGACAACCGATGCGCAGTGGAGAGAACAGCGAAGGACGTTAGAAGAAGAAAACTTAAGAATTGTGTCAACTGTTAAATCGAATCACACTGCCAACGCCATGATAATCCTCCGAGTTTCAACCGAGATCGGTTCCTTTGAAATTAACACTTCCTTTTTTCATCGAATTTTAAGTGATTTTAAACCATAGGTTTAATTAGTCATTATCTTTAAACTATAATTATGAAAAATTTCCGTCAAAAAAAAATTATGAAAAATTAAATCCAACTTTCACTTTTTTTTTTTTAATAACACGAAAAACTATTTTTTAAGCCAAAATCACGTAACTCAATCGTAAATGACATTTATCTTTAACTACGAAAAGAGGTTGTGAGATCAAATACACCACTCCATTTGTTGCCCAAAAAAATTTTTAAATAAAAAGTTTTAATGATCGAATTTTGCAAAATTTCATTGAATTTCAAGATAAATTATTTATTTAACTTTTTCATATTTTAAATTTAATTAATAAAATTAAAATTAAAAATTAAATACAACAAACACCCCAACAAAGACATTTAATTATATCCATTTCAAATTATTCTCATTCTAAACTGTATAAAAAAAGTTGTCTAACATAAACTTACACTCACCTCCAACCATGAGGTTATGAATTTAAATCCTCACACCTCACTTGTTGTACTAAAAAGAAAAAAAAAAGATAAAAAATTTAAATCATTTCTTAAATTTTTTTGACATAAGATATTTTTGAAATAATTTTAAAATTTGAAGGTAGAAATGAAATTTGTGAAACAATAGAGCATGACTCAAATTTACTCATAATTGAAATTTACTCTAAAGTTCAAAGTTATTTGGTGTGATTTAACCTTTAAAATAGAACTAAGTAATTATTGTAAAAAGAAAAAATAGAACTAAGTAATTATTGTTAAAAAAAGAAAAGAAAAGAACTAAGTAATCAAATTTTGGTGGCATTTCATAATAAACCACCAATATAACTTCATCTTATTTATTTAAGGTTTGATTTCGCTTTAAACTTTTAAAATGTCTATTTTATTATATGAACTTTAACAATTTTATTTTGATTCTTGTTGGATCATTTTTCCACCTAAAATTTATCGTAAAACTCTTTATTCTTTTTCTTTTTTAAAAAACTTATAAGTATACCAATAAACAAATATTGCAAACTCTCTCTCCTTTTAAACAATATAAAATATTAAAAATTATTCTTATTTTTCCAAAACAATGTGATTTAAAATAGTTTCTTACACTTCTTTCTATTATGAAAGGAAACTTAATAAGTTTTGTATTGATTAAATTACAATTTTAGTTCTAATAATTTAATTTTAAATTAAACTCTAATTTAGTTACTAGAGATGGTGTTCATTTGTGTTTTTTTTCAATAATTACAAAGCTATGATCCACCTATCGACTTTAAAGATGTGTTCAATATTTTCTACTTGAGTTGGCGTGTTCATTTCGTTTTTTTATTTTTATTTTTAATTCAACATGTGGATGGATATTTGAACCTTCAAATTTTTTGATCGATGGTATATATCTTAACTAATTGAGTGTTGTCCTCCCATTTGGATTTTAAGCGAGCATACTTATATCATAATAAATATAAATCTAACTTTACAAATGGTATAAATTGAACTTTTGATTAAAAAAAAGTATAAATTGAACTAATAATCAAAAGAAAAAAAAAACTTTTCATATACGCCATCAACTTTTAGAATATTTTATAAAGAGGATAAAGTGTGTATATATGTAAAATTTCTGTCCATTTTGTTAAAAAAAAAAAACAAAATAGCAAAATAATTATTTTGTATCAAAAGCCACATAGGGCTGAATCAGTCCTAAAAACACAGGTAGAAAATTTTCATCATACATTTATAGAGTTGATATTGATAACTCCGTAAATTTAAAAATTCATTTCAAACAATTGAACCATGTCAAACCGTTTCTTTTCAAAACTTTTGCTCACATCGTATCATTTAGTGTACTTATGAGATCACGCATACCACAAATAATTCCAACCCCACAAACCTAAATCTCAATTTTCTTGTGGGTACTCATTTTGTATGTTCGTTTGTATTCTTTCATCGTATATATACACACACACGTACATACATATGAATTTCCTAGCTTCAAACAGTGGACAAAGAAGAGAGAAAAATGGAGCATAGATCTCATCTTCCAATGTCTTCCACTGAGAAGACTTATGATTCTAACAAAATAAACGTAAGAGCAGCCAACATAAGCTTAACTAGCAGTAATTGGCACCTGTCTTTGATCAAGAGGTCATGATTTCGAAACTCTCCACCCCAACTATTGTACTGAAAAAAAAAAACAAAATAAAACAAGCAACAGCGTGAGCAGCGGCAATCTTCTGTTCTTCCACTTCGTCTCTTGCAGAGTTTCCAAAGAATGTCAACCCAGAAAAATGTGGGCATGGAAATTGGTATTAACATCCTCAACCTGAAACCACAAAATTTAATTTGTTCAGAAACTTATCTAAAAGTTCATTTATGAGGTAAATTATAGACAGGGGGAGGGGTAGGAGGGGGTGCCCTTGAATTGAAGGGAAAATCTAAATGAACCACAAAACATAAACACAAGTTTCAAAGCACTCTCACATAAAGCAGTTCCATTTCATTGTGAGGGTCCCTAGCACTTTGAAACATCAGATGGCTACTAAAGCAAGCTAAATCTTCATACAGCTACCAAAAGACCCTCTCTTACAGTGTGATAGAACAGACGCGTCCTGGAAATCGCTTTACTTACGTGAAGAGAGTTGTACAAAAGTGATACAAAGAAAAGATAGTTCGACGCGAAGAGAGTCGTACAAAAGTGTTATAAAGAAAAAGATAGTTTGTTGGCGAAGGAGAGTTTCGTATGGAAAAAACTTGTACAAGTCCCCCTCCAACCCTGGCCCTTAGGCTGTTTGCCCATTTCGTGATTTAGATATCTCTCTGTGTCTCATCAAGATAGACAGTTTTTTTTTAAAGATATCTCAAATCTTTTTTTTATTTATTTATGAATAGCCGAACTTTCCTGTAGAAAAATGAAAGAACAAAAAAAGGCATACAAAAAAACACAAAAAACAGCCCAACAAAAGGAGGTCAAACTAAAAGAACAGGCTCCAATCTTGAACCTATAGTATAACTACAAACGTATTTGGATATTAACGCCCAAAGGAAAACGTGAAACCGAGCAAGACCCATACGTCCTCTCAAGATCTTCAACCCTTCTAAAACTCTTGTTATTTATCTCTGTCCATAAACCCTAAAGAACAGGTAAGCAACCCATCGGCTACAAGATCGACCCCTGTCCCTAATCGGAGAATGGTAGAGAGCCTCATCCAGCATTGAGCTGGCACGAGCAAGATGAACCCCAACATTTCCTGAACAAAGGATCCAATTGCCAATTTACAAAGAAAATAATTTTTCATGCGCATGTGTTATCGACAAAAGCACTCCGGGAAGGGAAAGAAACAACATAAAATTGACCTTTTCACAATGGAGCTCTGGGGAATCAATTGCAGAAGTCACTTTAACAGCTCCGATGCGCACGAGCTTGTCCTGTTGGCAGTTCAGACATGCAGTTTCCTTTGCATAATCTGAAGGGAACAAAGAAAAGGGGAAAAAAGAGGGGAAGAAATCCTGTCACCAACTTACCAGCAATTCAAGGATGCTCAAGAAAAAAATTAGCATATTGACTTGGTCATGTATCATAGCTAATATATAATTCTGCAGCAGCTTCAATCTTTCTTACATTGCAATGTTTACTTGAATAGATGTCAAAATCGTAATATTTTTTTTTATGGAAATTTGGGCACAAAGTAGGTTAGGTAAAATTAGGCACAAGAAACCCAAAATTATAAATTAAAAAAAAAAAAAAAATCAAACTGAAGCTTTAACCGAACTGATCAGTACAGTAAAAACCGATTTTCAAGAAGAGTTGGTTTGGTTTGGTTTGCATAAATAGAAAACCGACCACCACAGTTCAGTTTTTGGTTTGGTGCAAAAACTAAACCAAACCAAACTCTAAACACCCTACCAAGGGCACAAGTAGAACATAAAAAGAGTATTTATCAACTTGATCGCCTCCTGAACATCACTAATCATATCTAAGATGAATAAAACTTATACACTAAATGAACCAATAAAAGAACAAAAAGCAAATTAAATGCCATGGACCTAAGAACACAATAAACTTATAATCACAAGGAGGAGACTACAGTGTTAAGCAAAGGGTTTGAATCCTATTTTGATACTTTCACACTTGTATGTTCGTTTCATTTTGGTCCCAAAATTTTCAAATTACCAGTTTTAGGCTTTAAACTTCACGTAAGTAACCATTTTAGTCTTTTTCATGAAATCTTTTGTAGAAAATTTAACGACACTGGTCAAGTGCCGAATTACCAAAATGATTTGACTTTCTTTTTTTTTAAGGGTTAGGGATTAAAATGGTAAATTTGAAAATTTAAGGACAAAAATAGAACATTATAAAATTTGGGGACCAAACAAAATAGGCATAAAATTTCAGTCACCTACCAAAATAGGATTCAAACTAAAGCAAATTGATGGTGGTATAATGTCAGTGAACCGGTCCTCCTCCCCACCCCTCTAAGAAAAGTCAAGCAGAAGTTATGTGATCTTACCCTTCTCACAAGTCTGAATCTGGTTAACAGCTCGATAAAGATTTCCGGCGAACTTATCCTCGGATTTATGGGCAAAAATCAAAGGAAATCAAATCTGTCTCAAGCAGCAATAGTTGTTTATGGTTGCATATCGTCTCAGGTTTTCTTGAGTGCATGATAGAACCCCCCAATATGGTTGCCACTGCCGAATTATTGAGCACACTCAAAGGCCTTCGCATAATCCACGGGCAGACAGCACTAAAAACAACAGTTCACGAATCTCTTCAAGGTGTGTCTTCTTGTTGCAACCAATTGATATCCTGCTAGATCAAAATCTTTTAAAATCACAAATATCAAAAACACATATAAAAAGTTAAAATGACTGGAAAATGGCGACTATGTATTCTCAAGCAGTATTGAACTATTGATTCTCAAAGATAAGCCAATTTTTCATGAAGGCCAGTTTTGGTATTTTCACTTTTTTTTTTGGATGAGAAACCAACTTTCATACAAAATATATATAATATATCTTTGCATACAAAAAAAAAAATCAGGCACTCAGTGTCAGCAGCACAATTTTCAGTACATGATGATGAATAGTAACTCTAATATTAAAAATTCATAAATATTCTAAGATAGAAGTAACTGGAGGCTCAAAATGTAAAAATGATCTTTGCAGACCTTTCAAAAAAACAAAAAATGTTTCCAAATATATTTTCAAGTTTTTTTTTTTTTTAAATACACCCATCAATCGATTTTTTCCTACCCAATCCGGTCATGCATACACTTGTTAGAGTTGTGCTTCTCTAGTGTGTCAGTGAATATCGACTTTTTAAATAAGATCAAGTTCTTTGGCTGTACATGGCAAAAGTACTTGCTCTCTGGTTCAATATATTTGAGGCAGTAACACAGAAGTTGGGGGTGAGGGTGGGCATATAACGCTCAAAAAGTAATGAACCCTATAGCAATATATTAAGTATAGAAAGCCTAAAGTTTCTTGAAGATCAGATCAAAAAGGCTTTGTTGACAGAGGGCGGTAACCCTTTATTAGTTCCCCGGGATATTGTACTACCACACACACACAAAAGAGGAGAAAAATCAAGCAGAAAAATACTAGGTTGCTATTTAGGGGAGGGAGTTGATGGCCCATATTAAGTTAAAATTTCCAAAATAATTTGATACTGCAAAATGAATCAGGTGACTTATATGATTGCCCGGAAAAACAGAAATCAGAGGGGTTAAGACACAAACCATCTGACATATGATATCTGCAAGCTGAAGTGCTTCCTCCCACCTGCTAACTTTGATAAGCCCCGTGATAAGGTGAACAAATGTACCAAGATCTGGTATAGCACCTTGTCTTATCATATCATTAAATAACTCAAACGCGTGACCGATCTTAGTTGCATTAGAAAAACTGTGAATCAATGACGTATACATATTTTTCTTAGCAGCCATGGACATTGAAGCTGATATAACCTCTTTGTGAAGCTTCAGTGCCACTTCCAGTCTTCCTGCCTTAATAAAGTTATCAATCAAAACCCTATATAGCAGAATAATTGGAGCAGAATCATTCTTCTCCGCTTCCTCTAAGAGCCCAAGAGAGAGAATGAACTCCCGGTTATAGCCTTCAATCACCTTACAGTAGCTCGATATATGTTTTGGCCAGTATGTTTGTTTCATTTCATCCAAAAGTGCATAAGCCTCGTCTAAAAAGCCAGTAGCACAGCAATGGTTGATCAACACTGTGTAGGTGACGAAATTTGGTGCACAGCCTTTTGAGCCCATTTCCCTGAAAAGCTCAAGGCATTTGTCAACTTTACCAGCTTTCCCAAAGCCATCAATCATTGCAGTGTAAGTCACAACATTTGGTTTACATCCCTTTTCTTCCATCATCAACATAAGCTTATAAGCTTCATCTGTCTTTGCAACTTTAGAAAGGCCATCAATCATCTCTGTGTAGATAACAACATTAGGAGCACAAGAATTCTCAAGCATTTTGGACAACACTTTCAAAACAAAATCTAGACGTTTATCCTTGAATAACCTATCAATCAGAGAGCTATAAGTATAGACATTAGGATTATACCCGCGCTCGACCATCTTAGCAAACACCTCTTGTGCTTCATCCAACTTTGCAGCCTTGCAAAAGCCATCAATAAGTGCATCATATACAATATTGTTTGGTTCACAGCCTTCCAAAAACATGGTTTCCAGTAAGTTGCGAGCATCTTTGACTTTATGGGCCTTGCATAAACCATCCACCAAAGCTCCAAATGTAACAACATTCGGCTTTTCAGAGACATTATTTTCCGTTTTAAAATACATATCTACATCCGGAATGTCTTCGTCACCTCTCATTCTTGAATAAATCTGGCAAGCTTTTTCTATATTCCCTGATTTACAATAGCCATCAATTAAAGCTGTATATGTAATAACATTAGGAATACAACCCTTTGCTAGCATTAACTCAAAAAGTTCATTAGCAATGGAAACTTTCTTAGCCTTAAGATATGCATGGATGAGGGTTGTATAAGTCACCACAGTAGGTTCACACCCATCTCTTACCATTTCATCTAGCCAATTGTGAGCTTGTTTAATGAGGCCAGCTTTAGAAAAACAATCAATTAAAATTGTGTACGTATAAACATCAGGAACAACACCAGTCCCTTTCATTTCTTTGAATAACAAAAAGGCATTTTCTACCCTTGAGGCATTACATAGAAAACCTATCACTTCAGAATATGTAGAGGTATCAGGAATGAAACCATTATCCATCATTTCATGGATTACTTTATATGCTTTCTCAAATTTCCCAAAGCCACATAGGCATCGAGCAAAGTTCACAACATTTACCTTATTTAGAACAGTTCCTGCAGAAAGCATCTCATTGTAAGCTTTCTCGGCCAACTCAAATGTAACTGGGCCAGGTAACTCTTCACTACCACAAATACCGCCAATTAAGATATTGTAAACCACATAGCCAGGCTTGCATCCACAATTTTCCATTTTCTTGAGCAACTTATAAGCATATGAAAAATCCCCTGATCTGCAATAAGCATGAACAAGAGAATTAAATATCCTATAACTCGGAAAACAGCCTTCTGCAATCATCATACTCAGAATTCTCTTACATCGACCCAGCTGTTTTTTATTCAAACAGCCACAAAGCAAGATCTTATAAGTCTGAGCATTAGGGATGCAGGAAGTAGACCGCATCCTGTTCAAAAAATCCATAGCTTCTTCAAAAAGCGAAGCTTCACACAATCCAGATATCATCTTCGTATAGAGAACCGTATTGGGGACAAAATCTTCTTTCTCAATTAATGAGAGGGCATCCCTCCATTTGCCCACTCTGCAGAGGGCTTGAGCAAAAAAACCTAAAGTAAACTCATCCATACTAAATCCTGATTGTGACATCTCTCTATGAACCAAATGAGCAGTATCCAACTTATCAGCTCTGAGAAAGACTTGAATCAAAGCATTATAAGTTAACCGGGTCGGCTTGTATCCAAAATCCTTAAGCCTCCCGAGCTCTTCCAATGCTACATTCCACAACCCATTTCGGCAACATTTCCGAATCAACACATTAAGCAACTTCCCAAGCACCACTTTGTCATCACCCCAAATTTCTCGCAGATACTCCTCCGGTACTCGATCGTAATTATCACACTCGAAAACATCTAACAATGCACAGTACACAGACGCAGTGTGATTGTAACCAATTTGCCTACCCGCCCACAGAAAGAACCTGACACACAATTCAGGACTCCTCAAAAGATTCAAAACCTCAACAACCAAATCGGGATTCAAACTCTGTCTAAATTGCCTAAGTAATTTCTGGGTTTTGTCCCCAAACCCATCATCACCGTTACGAATTGCATCTAATATCGAAATAGCCTCGTTTGAAATCTTACCAATCTCGAGTGTCTTCTCAGAAGAACCAGAGTCTGCAGGAGAATCCAACAAAGAATCACGCAGAAACCCAACTTCTTGGGCCGAAAAGCATTCGACCCGCGAACTCTCAGACGGATTTGAGTCGTCTAAATCAACTAGTCCCTCGAGATTGTCCGGAGGAGAAGTGGTGTACTTGGCAATGGCGGATGAAAGGCTTAGGCGATATACACTGATGTTCCCAAAGGAAAATCTGGAGGAATCAGAGAATATGAGTGATGGGTTCGTGGAGAAGACGGCGTTCAATCTAAATGGGGAAGAATTGAAGGAGGTTGAGAGAAGTCGGAGAGATTTCAGCCCCCTTCTGCTCATTACTCGCAGTGGGAGCTTCGAAATGGGATTGTAGGCTTTGGGTTTTTGGAGGGTTTAAGGAGGAGAGGGAAAATCAGAATCAGAATGAAAGAAAATGGAAAAACTTTTCATCATTCTAATGTCAACAAAACAAAATCATCATGGTGAGAAGCTTGCAATTTGTTTTTTCAACATGTTGGACATCTTTATGAAAGAAAAAAATATATTTTTTTGTCAAATTACAAATATGGTTAGGGTGTTAAAAAAAATCGATGACTCGAAAAGTCATAAATGAAAGGTTATCTTATAAACTTGTTCGATATGAGTTTGGTTGGATTCAAATAAATAAATATTTTATGAGTTGGATTGGTTTAAGAGTTTACCTATATTAAATTTGAATTGAATATAAAACTAACTTGAACTTATTCTCAACTACATAACAATTTAGTGAAAGTGAGCATAGCTCAGCGATAATTGGCATATACCTTGAACTAGAGGTTGTGAGTTCAAATTCCCTCCTCATCTTCAATAAAAGTACACCAACCAAAAGTAATTTAATTTTTTCTTTTCTTTGTTAACAATAACTAAAAAGAACATGCCAAAATTAAACTAGATAATTTAGCCCAATCTCAATCTAATTCAACTATTTATCTCTACCAAAAGATCGTGAATTCGACCTTGCACGTACTAAAAAAGAAAAAAGACACGAGACAATTTAGAATGCAAAGGATGGTAGTGGTACAAGTATATGATTTACGATTTCTTTTGTTACTTTAATTTCACTTCAATGTGCTATATTATTCAATAAATCACAATTTTACATATTTTTGTGAAAGAATCCTTTTTCAGCATAACAAGGTGAGAAATTTGAACGTTAGAACTGACCTTAGAATTTTAGAATTTTAGAAATATTATTAGTTGAATTATATTTAGATTGACACGAAAATTAATATTTAAACACAAATGTTGATAGTGTTGCGTTAAGTACATTAAAATCATTTTACATTTTACCAATGATGGTCAAATAAAAGTAAAAAGTAAAGTTGTTCAGAAAAAAAAAAAAGTAAAAAGTGACGATCAACGTAAGCTTAGTTCAACAACTCATTTTGCTCGATAAATAGATTTGTTTCTTTATTTTATTGGTTTTGCCCAACTCAGTATCATAAAAGGGAAAGACTCAACTATCCCACCTAGCCGAGCCAAAATCGAAAAAAAGATTAGACAGAAATGAGTGGAAAAGAAAGGAAAAATGAAGACTTTAAAAATATAACCCGATCTGTTCAACCTGATATGTATGGTGGAATCAAGGTATCTTGCTCATTTCTTAGAAGTGGAAGGTTCAGTTTTCCATCCTCACATTTGTTGTACTAAAACAAGGTTCGTCGGAGTCCATCCACAAAGATGCGGGGAGGGGTTTTAGGTCTGTAGGGTCCGAGCAACTAGGGCTTTCATCAAAGGGTTGAGGAATTCGAGCGAGGGTAAAGGATAAATGTTTCACTTTCTGGGCTTTCCGGGAGTAATTGGAGGGGTTGTTCAGGGGTTGGGAGATTGTCGTAGAAATCATCCCACCGGAGCATGTGAACTCGAGGTGGGGGCTCAATCTCGTCTCCCGGATTCCAATCATGTCTCTACCATCCGTTTCTCCCTTTTCTCCGGCTGGCGTGATAAGGAGAGACGGATCCCAACTCGAAAATGTCGGCTCGATCATGTTTATATTGGCAGGAGGAGGTACAGCATGAGTGGGTAGGGGATTGGTAGTGACATTGGGGCGCGGTAAGAAATGACCGTGAGCATAAACGAATGAATTGTATTGATAAGAATGACTTAGTTTATTTAATGGATAACAAATGTATTACTCATTCAACGGCTTAGTTTCAAAATAATATCTATTTGATTTATTATAATCGAGTTATGCACATTTCTTTTTCAATTTAATTTTATTCCATGATTCCTTTTAGACTTTTTTCAATTTTAAACTTCAACTTGACAATATGTATCAATTTGCATCGGATAATTGTTCGTAATTTTTACCTTGTAATTTTAACATTCGGTAAATTTTCATTTGAAAATTTGTTGAAAAAATATTCTCATGTATCAAATAAATTAGAAAATATTTTTTTTGTATGAAGTAATTGATAGGATTTAGAAAAAATAACATTAGTGTCGATTTTTTTGGCATGACATTAGAGTTAGATTTTTTGGCAGTGTTATTTAAAGGTATATTTTATAATCAAACCTAATTTGAGAAACTTGATTTTTATTAAAATGGTGAGTTTTGTTGTTTTTTTATTCAATAAAGTGATATAAATTATCATATTAACCTGAATTTAGGATTACGAATTTAAATTTATTAAAATAATATGTTCCATGATATAAACTTAATTAGACATATTATATCCAAAAGAAATAACTAGACATAAAAGGTGAAATTGTTTATTTTAAATAAAAATATATATTTAGAAAGCTAAAATAAGAGATTCCCAGATAATAAAAATATATTAAAGATTAAACAAATAAAAACTACGACAATAAAAATATGTTTAGAAAACAAAAATGAATGAAATTATATTTAGGAGATAATAATAGTAAAAATATATTTAGAAAACATAAAATAAAAAATATTTTTATAAAACAAAAATGAATAAATATATTTAGGAAACAATAAAGTAAAAACATATTTAAAAAACAAAAAATAATGTAGTTAATACACACTATGCTTTGTGTATACTATATTATATTTAATATAAATCTAAGGGGGCACGTATCCTTGGTCACAACGTGAATCCGTCCCGCTCTCTCTACCATTTTTTAGAAATTAATTTCTCAAGTCATAAGCCGCAGGATACAACTTTTCAATGATATAAAAGTTGACTTTGAGTAACTAATGTATCACAATGTTTCAAAGTAAGTAAATAGAATGCGTAATTGAGAGACTAATATTTTCACTCGTTTTTTACAAGAACACCCACCTAATATAAAAACTATCATCTAAATATAATTATTTGGGCTGGACAAGTTTGCCCCAATTTGGTGGGTTCACAAAGTTTTTAACACTTTGATTAACCTAACAAGTTTGTCACTTTGGACCATCATGGGTGGTTCATTGATCCAAAGGAACTGGAGTTAATTAGGAGGGAACGAGTTCAAACTCATGATAGGCATCTACTTTAAGAACTAGTAATACCTATGTGTTTCTTACCAAATGTTGTAGAGTCAGACGGAGCAACCGTAAGATTAGTCGAGTTGCGTGTAAGCTGACTCAGACACTTACGAATATAAAAAAGAAAGAAAGAAAGAAAAAGACAATGGCTTTGATTAAAAAATGTTTATTTTAATTTTAATATATTTATTTTAGTGACAATTTTTTTTAATAAATTCACATTAAATAATCAACCATAAAAACCTCACTCTTCCACTCTTCCATCTTCAGTCATGCAAATATTAGGAGAGGATGAATTTTCTCATCTCTAATTGATATTTCTACTCACTTGATTTAGTGATTGATGTATAACAATTTTTTTCTCGTTTACCACTCAACAATCATGTTGTTTCTATTTTTAGAACTAAAGGAGAATTTTGATGAAAACAATAGTTTGTTGGAAAACAATTTCGACACGATCACGGTGCTAAATCGTTTTTTGCCGTTTGCTTCCCAAGGTTAACCCAACTTCCAATTTTGGGTGCACTCATCGGAACAGAATGGAATCGAAGAACATGCTCAGAAAGAAGTTTGATTTTTTGTAAAAACTTTTGTAAAACGAGATCTCTCCAACTGTTTATTTTTTGCGTGTTCTCGAAGGAGGAGAACAAATCTAGTTTTAAAAGGAAATAACAAAAAAAAAACGCTTTAACTGAATTAATTAATTAAAATGTTTAACAATGAATTTAAATAATTAATTAAAACATAGATAAAACGTTTACATTAATACTTAGTAAAATATGAGCAATAATTAAAAGATATTACTTATTTTGCTTTGTCATTCCAACATTTATCACTCGTTTTGACAATAAAATTGATCGATTTAAATTCATTTTACAGGCCAAGGACATAAGTAAAACATTACAAACAATAGAAGTATAATTGAACCTAACCTTTAGTGTCCAAGTCATTTTGAATATTCTAACCGTAAAAACAACTTTGATATTATTATTATTATTCAATGTAAACAGCAAAGGGTTTAGAGGGAACATGTTTAAACCATGGTGGCCACTTATCTAGGATTTAATATCCTAGAGTTACCTTGACAACCAAATGTAGTAAAGTCAGACAGTTGTTTTGTGAGATTAATCGCGGTGATATGGATACACATAAATATAAATATATAAATATATATATATATATATATTTTTTTTTTTTTTGAAGAGTTTGGTATTAGTCATTACACTAATTTAGTTTCCCAAATATTTTATAAAGCACCTTATATTTGATATATTGTTGAATAACCAAAGTCAAAAAGTGAAACCTAATAATATAAAATTGAAACTTAGAAGCGCACACTTCACACACATTGTGCGGCTAACACCCCCCACGAGATGCGCCGTTGCGCCGCTCGTTAAACTTCCCATTGAAAGTGCCAAAAAAATATTGATAAAAGGTTTTTTTTTTTTTTTTTTTATCCAATAGGTGTTCGTGCCAGCTTATGCGCACTCACGGGACAACTGTCTGATACTACAACATTTGGTGCCAAAAAACACAAAGGAATTATTAATTTTTTAGACAAGTAACGAGGTTTAAACTCATTTCCTCTTAATTAACTCAAGTCCCTTTGGACTAATGAGTCACCCATGATGGTTTTGACAAAATGTAAATAGCAGATATGTTTCAAATATATAAATATACGTGCCAACATGAAAATAGCTTAGAAATAATTGACATGTACTACTTCTCTCAAGGTTGGAGGTTCGATCCTTCAAATCCTCTAAATTTCTGGAAATGTAGTCATAAAACTTGTATTAAAGGATTTTATTAGGTATAAAATTTGTGTAAGATTTTGTAAATAGTAGTCAAACTAGTCGGTTTACAAAACTATGAGACGAAAACTACATGACCCAAAATGAATATTTTGAAAATAGTGAAAACCAAAATAAACCAAAACGAAGTATAGGAATGAAGACAATATTTAAATCTAATTAGAACTTTAACAAAGTATATACAAAACTTAGGTAAACAAAACTTGTTGGATCCAAATTTCACGACGGTCATCCACCTAAGAATTAATTTCTTGTGTCTTTTTAACCGTCAAATGTAGTAGGGTCAAGTAGAGCATAATTTAAGGATAATTAATACTTAATTTTTCTTTAGAGTCTAATATCTGAATCTCACATCTTCAATTTGTTGTACTAAAAAAAATTAGTCTGAAATACGTTGGCAGGGAGAATGTAAACAAAACTTGTTGGTGGTCAAATCAATGGCGTACTTTGTGAAAAAAATGCCAAAATCTGTGGTGTTGGTTGGTGACTTGGTGTAGTCTTTCTACAAAAGATTTGAATTTTTGATACGCTTTCACTACCAAAGGACCATAAGACGAATCAAAGAGTGAAAAAGTTGAACCAATTGAAATATCATATGATTTTGTCATCCAATAATCTTTCTTTCCAATCCCCAAAATTCAATTCCCACTTCCAATCCCACCCTTTTTCGATCAGTCACTTCCAAATTCTGAATTATTAAATTCCTCTCTCACTCTCTCTCTGCTCTCTCTCTACTCTCTCTCCTACCCCAGTAAGGTAAAACGTCTCTTTATATATAGAGTGAAGAACCAAAGTTCCTTTTCCATGAACAGCTCGGAAATCAGCATAATTTTGCTTGCATTTTGATGCTCACTAGCACGCTCAAACGGCTGTAATCACTCGTCCTCAGCCGTCGCTTTCCGAATAAAATTCTGTTCGTTCTATCCGAATTCTTCAAATTATTGGATTCCGAATAGGAACTCTATTTGGGTCTGTTTCAGATTGTCGTCTTATACACTCTGGCATCTGGGTTCTGTAATTGGTACCCAAATTTTAGGTTACTTTTTTCTTTCTCTCTGGGCTGTGAGATTTGTCTGTTCTAATTGTCTTTGAGCGTCGGAAACGAGAAGATAATGAGGAGTTTCAAGGATTTTTGCACAAAAAAGACCCTAATAGCTCTTGGGTTGGGGCAATTTCTGTCTCTTCTTATCACTTCCACAGGCTTTTCGTCCTCTGAACTCGCCAAAAGAGGTACATTCTTCGTATTTTCTGCATCATTTTGTAGTTTATAGTTTTTCTTAATTGGATTTTCATGTACTATTTCCGAGTTGGGAGTAAGAGGATTCTACGCACTGTAACTAGTTTTGGTTTAAACTTCAACATGTTTGTGAAGAACAGAGAGTTCTATAAGGTGTCAGTGAAAGCTTTCGTTTTCCTCTTCATATATATGTTCTTAAGCAACTGGAAAAATTGACCGATTTAAGCTTTTCTTGGGTCAGTAGTAATTTAATAGTTTGTGGGTTAAATAAATACTCGACCCCACAGATGAAGGGAGGTCAATTTTGTTGAGTTGAACCACATGTGGAGGTGAGGAGGATTAACTTTTTGGTCGAGGATATATGTCTTAACTAGTTCGGGTGAATGTACGTTATTAAATATAACATAATAATGGTTATTGACATATATAATACTATTGTGCAGGAATTAATGCTCCAACTTCACAGTCCTTTATAAACTATGTCCTCTTAGCAATTGTTTATGGAAGTGTAGTGCTATACCGTAAGAAAGCACTCAAGGTGATTCTGATTCCTTTTTATTTGTTATACTTCTTAAACTGATTGAATGACTACCCGTTGAAATCTTATAGTTGATAGAGCAAGAAGTTATACAATGAATGTTTCTCATGTTGTTGCTGAAGTTATTGACACTGAAAAAATTCTCTTACTGTTTTCTTGCTTCCTAAACCTGCAATTAACATCGCATACAATCATTTTGTATTGATTTGATTTTGCTAGATTGGAGATCGGTCTTTTAGTTTGGCTACCTAGGCTTTTTATTTTTTTATTTTTTATCCCCTTATGTATTGTTTCATTCTTCTCAATGAAAATTTGGTTTTTACTTAAAAAAAAAAATCACGTACAATCATTTGTCGTTGGTTCTTCCGATGCCTCCTTTTCTATTTTTTTGTTTTGGAATTTGTTACACATGGATCATTAGCAAAGTTCAAAATATTGAATCAGAAGTACTTGTTGGGCATATAGGGTAGTAATGGTGATCAGCTACAAAAATCAAAATTTCATTTTTCATGCATAAAATTTTAACTAAGACGTAGTTCACTTCTCTTTTAATGAGAAAAAATGTCAAACAAAAATATCGAACAATTGTTAGCTCTTCCGAAAAGGAGGTGATCCAGCCACACCTTCCAGTACAGTTTCTTGTTTGGTTAGATGGCTATAGGTGGCTGTTGCATGTGAACGATTTGGCTATAGGTGGCTGTTGCTTGTGAACGATTTGGTTACTGAGTTGAAGAAGTGGATTTTTGTGTGATCTTCCTCATGATTGTTGTACTTGTCCCGATTAGCACTACTGCTGTTTTGTTGTGCCTTAAGTAGAACTTAAAGAAGAGACTGATTGTGCCAAAATAGAACCAAATTATAGAAACACTACAACAGGAATGAATTGGAAGGTGATATGTGCCGTAAGGCAGTGCCTAATCTATTATGAGTAACCCTTTCCATAAGGAAGATGTGAGAACTGTGCATGTGTAGGATAGGTCCGTCTGATAACCATTTTGTTTTTAAAATATGTTTGCTTCCTTACAAGTTGTTTAATATGTTTAATATCTTTTTTAAAAACATATTTGATTTCTTAGTCAAATTTCAAAAACAAAAACTAGTTTGTAACAACTACTTTTTTTCTCTTCAAAATTTAGCTTAGATTTTGATAACTTTGTAAAACATAGATGTCAAAACAAATTAATACGTTTGTGGAAGGAGTTTTTATAAGCTTGATTTTTAAAAAATAGGGACCCAAAAACAAAAGTTATTGAATGAGGCCTTAGTTATTAGTATTGTGGTGTGGTTGATTTCCTTCTCTTTTGCTAATTCATATCTTCTATGTGTGAATTTCTCACTTGTCTCCTTTCTAAATCTTACAGGCAAAATGGTACTTCTACATTCCACTAGGCTTGATAGATGTAGAAGCCAACTACCTTGGTACAGCTATTTTTTATGCGATATATCCAAACTCCTCTTGATGAAATTAAGAGCTTATTTTTTTCTCTTTGTATTTTTCTTGTAAAAGGGGATTTTCTTGAGCCTTCTCTGTTCATCATTGCTCATGATCTAGAAATCTTATATGTATCGAGTTATGATTTCTTTTTTTCGCTATAGGATAATACTTTTGTAATTTGGAATTGATCGTGTTCTGGTGTGAGGTGCAGTTGTGAAGGCCTATCAGTACACATCTCTAACAAGTGTCATGCTGTTGGATTGTTGGACAATCCCTTGTGTCATGCTGCTAACCTGGCTTTTCCTGAAAACAAAATATAGATTCAGGAAGATAGCGGGTGTTATTGTTTGTGTCGCGGGCCTTGTCACGGTCATTTTTTCCGACGTTCATGCTGGTGACCGAGCTGGTAATACCACGAGCCCCTGAGTCATGGTCCTTGCAAATTTATGTTTCATTGTACTCACATACACCGATATGATTTGCAGGAGGAAGCAGCCCGCTTAAAGGGGATGCTCTTGTTATAGCTGGTGCTACCCTTTATGCTGTTACTAATGTCAGCGAGGTAAGGCTGCGAGTATGCAGTTACATTTACTTTTCCCTTACTGGAAAGCTTTAGAGATTGACAATCGGGCCACGAGATGATTAGAACATTAATAATTATTGATTTGTTTTGACTTGTTAATAAACACTTTCTAAATGTCAAATTTTAACTCTCTGCTGAAGGAATTTCTGGTGAAGAATGCTGATAGAGTCGAGCTAATGGCGATGTTGGGCATCTTTGGTGGCATCATCAGTGCCATCCAAATGTATCCTTAGTTTTATGTCTCAATGTTTTACGGTAGTTTATTTTTGGAAAATACTTAGCTCTTTGCCCGTCAGACCTATCTTGTTTTGCTTAACCACCATTGGATGTTTGACAACTAAGAGATGCAAAAGCAAAGAATTTTTAAAAAAATAATGAACTGTCAATTTTCTAATGGTGGTTGGGATAGAGATAGGTCATGAATGGTAAGAAGCTAGATACTTTCCTATATTTTTTGTTGTCTCAGACTCGAGCCTACTATGGATTGTTTTTGAAACTGGCATTTTTCTCTCTTTTCCTCACTCGCATTTTGCTCGGTTGATCTTATGATGCAATATTGTTTATGTTCTTTTGTTCCAAGAAATGTCTCATCATCAAGCAGGGTGCTAAAGTGACTGTGGCGCTTCTGATTTATATATTTACATTGTTTCCTTGATGGTTTTCTTTAGAAGCATAATTGAGCGGAAGGAGTTAAAATCCATTCGATGGACAGCCGGAGCAGTAAGTTTCCTTGTGAGATGTGCTTCGTACATGGAGTTTTCGGTGTCAATCTCTCCTAGAACTTGATACTCCAATGTATAACAGTTGTTTTCCATCTGATTTCTTTCAGGCTCTTCCTTTTGCTGGATTTTCTGTGGCTATGTTTCTGTTCTACTCATTCGTCCCGGTATTGCTTCAGGTATGGGTTGGAACATTTGTTCATGTGGCATTCAAGGAGCTACTTCTGTTTGCTATTGAGGCATGTGCTAAACAAACTAAAGTAGAAAGAAGGGGAAAAACAACTTTTTAGATGACAATTGCTCAAAATTTTACTGTTTCTGAAACATCTCCCAAATAGTCTTCTAGTATTTTAGATTTTCTTTAGCATATTTATGTTGGAACTTTGGTTCTAAAACTACGAATTTTCGCAGATTAGCGGATCCACAATGTTGAACCTGTCTTTACTGACCTCGGACATGTGGTCGGTTGTGATCCGTATTGTCGCTTATAATGAGAAGGTTCGTGATCATTCATCATTCATCGATCTATCACCATCACATTGTTTTTCTCTCTTTTTTCTTCCTTGGATTGTTTCATCAAGTGATTTTCTGCAGGTTGATTGGCTTTACTACTTGGCCTTTGCTGCTGTTATCATTGGACTCATCATTTATTCAGTGTACGTTAACACTCCTAATTTAAATTCTTTTCCCGTAAATTCTATCGGAAAATGCTCGTAAAGTAAGCATATAAACTGCTCAAGAAGTTTCATTTGCTGAAGCATGAGATTCGAATGATCCTGGGGATGAATTAGATTACCATTTGTTTCTTAGAACCATGGATCATTCCTATATGATACCAGAACGATGGTTACTGACGAAGTTTCTATTTTTCGGGGCTCGTTCGACTTATCGAAAACACCACGACCCCGGTTACATTGCTCTATTTGCTAGCTGAACCTCTAATCTCTAAATGCAGGGGCGAGAAAGAAGAAGCTCAAAGTCGAGCTGACGTTGCCGATGAAGAAGCCGAGCATGGCAAACAAGTTCCATCGAGAAACCGGGATGAAGGAACTTCGTCGGCCAGCAGTTCGAAGATCTGAGAAGGATAGGAAGAATGAAAAGTTTAGGAAGAAATAAGATGAATTAGAAAGAGGTATCTATTAGAGTTCACTTATTTTTTGCTTAGCCTTTTGATGGGCTCTCATTGTTCAACTTCTTACTGCCAATAAAGTAATTAGTAATGGAAATTTTTGGTTTTCTTTGTGCTCTTCAGATTATGTTCTTTTGCCTTTTTTTGTTGGATTTGCCTATAAATGGAAATACCAATCAAATAAATAAATATCTAAAACACCCAAATATACATATATGAAATATGTCAATTACGGCTGAGTTATGCTCGCTTTGGCSCTTCAAACACTTATAATTAATATGCTTATTATGCTTATTTGATTTCTATCAAATAATTTATTAAAAAATTAATCACAATAATTATGGTTATTTTTTATGTGAAGTTGAAAAATTCTTACGGGCAAGGTCTCAATTTCATCAAATGTCGAGGTTTAAATCTCATTGAAATATCAAGTATCGATAAAAGATCGATGTCGATAGATATTCCTGTAAAAGTTAGATAAATTAAAAAATCATAAAAAGTATTTAAATTAGCAAATAAATATTTTTTCTATTTCTAAATAAGTTAAAAATAATTAATATTAATATTATGTATATTTCGACGTTGATAGAAATGTCGAGATTTCGATTTTACGGATATATTGATGGACATGTTGATGTCGACGAATATTTTGGAAAAAATATGGAAATTGTGAAAATTGATGGAAATTTTTTAAATTAGCAAATAAAACTTAAATTGTAGTTTAATTAGTCTATAATTGATCATCCTTCAAATTTGAATTGTAGATTAATTAGCCTATAATTGTAGCTTAATTGATCAGCAATGTAAGAATATGATCACTTTACTTATGACAATGTCGACGTCGATGAAAATATTAAAAAAATCTTTTTAGATTGGTAAAATTATTTGAATAAGTAAAGTAAATTTTAATCATAAACTTTTGACTATGTTTTTAGTGTCTTTCATAATAGGAATTCATTTGGAAATGAGATATTTACCGATTTGGTTTCCAAACACATTTCTAAATTCTAATTAACTCGTGTTTTTTTACTTTTTTCTCACTTCTCTTTTCAAATTTGAATTTTCACATTTTTTAAACACATTTTCAAATCAATCATCAATTTAATTTTCTAATCAAATTTACACAATTTCCAAACACATTTCTAATTCACTCAAATTATTTTTACTTTTTTATTTTTTACCTACTTTTCTTTTCAAATTTGAATTTACACATTTTTCAAACATATTTTCAAATCAATCATCAATCCAATTTTTCAATCAAATTTAAACAATTTCNTTACCTACTTTTCTTTTCAAATTTGAATTTACACATTTTTCAAACATATTTTCAAATCAATCATCAATCCAACATTTCAATCAAATTTACACAATTTCCAAACACATTTCTAATTCATTCAAATTATTTTTACTTTTTTAATTTTTACCTACTTTTCTTTTCAAATTTGAATATACACATTTTTCAAACACATTTTTAAATCAATCATCAATCCAACTTTTCAAGCACATTTCAAACACATTTCTAATTCACTCAAATTATTTTTACTTTTTTACTTCTTATCCACCTTTTTTTTTCAAATTTGAATTTACACATTTTTCAAACATATTTTTAAATCAATCATCAAACAAACTTTTCAATCAAATTTACACAATTTCCAAACACATTTCTAATTCAATCAAATTATTTTTAATTTTTTACTTTTTACTTACTTTTCTTTTCAAATTTAAATTTACACATTTTTCAAACATATTTTTAAATAAATCATCAATCAAACTTTTCGATCAAATTTACACAATTTCCAAACACATTTCTAATTTATTCAAATTATTTTTACTTTTTTAATTTTTACCTACTTTTCTTTTCAAATTTTAATTTACACATTTTTCAAACACATTTTCAAATCAATTATCAATCCAACTTTTTAATCAAATTTACACAATTTCCAAATACATTTCTAATTTACTCAAATTATTTTTACTTTTTTACTTTTTACCTACTTTTCTTTTCAAATTTTAATTTACACATTTTGCAAACACATTTTCAAATCAATCATCAATCCAACTTTTCAATCAAATTTACAAAATTTCCAAACACATTTCTAATTCACTCAAATTATTTTTACTTTTTTTTAACCTTTTTTTTATATTTGAATTATTTTATTATTTTTACCAACAATAAATATCCCTACTTGTTATTCTTCTTCACAACTCAGTCAATCTTAATTTTCAATATTCTTATTCAATACTCTCTTTTACCTTTCTCTCATTCACTTTGTTCACACCTTAATCTCAAATTCTCTATACTCAAAGTTGGTTATCTATCTCTGTATTCAAGGTTGATAACTTATCTTATCTTTCTTATTATTTTTACTTAAAGTTGAAATGTTGATTATTATTCATCATCTTAAACGTATTTATTGTATTACACATAGTTTAATATTCAAAATTATTTATTGTTAATATTTGTAATTCTTTTTTGTTAATATTTATTGTTAATATTTGTTATCCTTACCAAACAACTGATGCTTGAATCTAGTGATGCAATCAGTTTTAATCACTACATTATAGAAATTGCATATAGTGCCACTTTTGGTTTCACTCAATTGGAAGATAATAAGCCCAAGCTGAATCTACACGTCCGCCTCCATCTATGATTGAAACAAAAAAGAATTACAAATATTAACAATAAATAATTTTGAATATTGAACTATGTGTAATACAATAAATACGTTTAAGATGATGAATAATAATTAACATTTCAACTTTAAGTAAAAATAATAAGAAGAAGAAGAAAGATAAAATAAGTTATCAACCTTGAATATAGAGATAGATAACCAACTTTGAGTATAGAGAATTTGAGATTAAGGGGTGAACAAAGTGAATGAGAGAAAGGTAAAAGAGAGTATTGAATAAGAATATTGAAAATTAAGATTGACTGAGTTGTGAAGAAGAATAACAAGTAGGGATATTTATTGTTGGTAAAAATAATAAAATAATTCAAATATAAAAAAAAGGTTAAAAAAAAGTAAAAATAATTTGAGTGAATTAGAAATGTGTTTGGAAATTTTGTAAATTTGATTGAAAAGTTGGATTGATGATTGATTTGAAAATGTGTTTGCAAAATGTGTAAATTAAAATTTAACAATAGAAGTATGTAAAAAGTGAAAAGGTACGAGTTAATTAGAATTTAGAAATGTGTTTGGAAACCAAGTTGGTAATTATCTCATTTCCAAATGAATTCCTATTACAAAGACACTAAGGGGTCGTTTGTCTCGTGGGAATCCAATCTTGGATTCATACTTTTGTTTTGTGGTAATGTAAGATACCTGGGTATCTCGAGATACCCGGATATCTTAAGATGCCCATTTGGAAAGCATCCGAGTCAATTTGGATGCCCTTTTGAAACATGGGTTTCTATGATTCCCATGTCGAGGACATCCTATGTTGACATTTTTACCTCTTCGTTATTTTTTCATATATTTTCTTTTATCAAGTTTCTTTGATTTTATTTGTAATTTTATAGTTTAAATAAAGTAATATATTCATGGATTAATAAGCAATTAAGTATATTTATGTATTACATGTACATATAAAATAAACTTCCATTAAATTATATAATATCTTCATTTACTTTTAATATTTTGAATGAATTATTACGAATAATATATATTATCTTAAATACATAATTTTAAAGCAACATATTTGTAATGATCAGCTTATCTTTTATATTCTTCTTTTTAAAAGAATATGTTTTGATAATATAATAAATGAATTATACCCTATACAATATTAATTATATAATTATATTTTTTTTTAATATTAAAATTGAAAATAAAATTTATATTTAATATTAATTACTTTTAAAAAAATTTATATTAATATGAATTCTACCTAATAACATATAAAAATTAATACATATATGTAATTAATATAAAAAACCTAAAATAATAAATTAATTTTAAGAAATTCTATTATATAAATACAAATTATATTAGATTAATGTGTAAATGTAAGGATAATTTTAGAACATTATATAAATTTAGAATATTCTCCTAAATAAATCCTGCAAAACAAATATGACTATTTAGATATTTCCAAATATTTTTATTTATTTTCTTACGAAACAAACGTAAAATTTGAAAATACTAAACATCTAAAATTTCAAATATTTGAAATTCTAATCTGCAAACAAACACCCCTAAAGAAGTAATAAAAAATTAATTAAAGTTTACCTTACTTATTTAAATAAGTTTAATCAATCATCCTTGAAAAGAAAAATCTTTTTTTAATATTTCCATCAACTCAACATTATCATAAATAAAATAATCATATTCTTACATTAAACATAATCAATTATAGACTAATAAAATTACAATTCAAAGTTAAAGTTTTTTTTGTCGTAATTCAAAAAATTTCCATCAATTTCCATTATTTTTCCTAAAACCTCCATCAATATCAAATCAACAAATTCATAAAACCGAGACCTCAACATTTCCATTATATTATTATTCCCAAAACCTCCAACAAATTCATAAAACCGAAACCTCTAACATTTCCATCATAATCAACATTTCAAACAAATAGAATACACAATTAATCAACTCAAAACCACTTTGAAATTTTTGACAAAACCAATAATAATAGTACTTTTATAAATATATATTTGTTTTATGATATTTAGTATAATTTCCCAAATAAACTTTGCAATACTATTTAATTTCCAATATATCCACAGATAGATTTCAGATTCAAATCCACAGAACATTAAAACAAAGAAATCTGAGTCCTATGAAAACACAACAGAATTGCATTCCGAAATCAACCGGTGAAGAATAAATTTCCTGTTTCATTCTTTGGTGAATCCATAATCAGAAACGATTTCAGCAGTTCCAAGAAGATCGAGAGAGAAAAAGGAAACGAGTTCATCTAAACATTGAATCTACACATCAAACCCTATCGCAAACGCCATTATTTCAATGGCGGAAGAAGAATGCACAAATTACGATCCAAAAACATTTGATCTAAATTGCGAACATGCTCTACTATGCCTTTCTATGCTCTCTCGCCTCTGATTCGCCTCGCCAGTTGAATATCCTTCGGCATAATCGTAACTCTCTTGGCGTGGATTGCGCACAGATTAGTATCCTCGAACAATCCGACCAAATACGCCTCCGCCGCCTCCTGCAGCGCCGCGACGGCGCTGCTCTGGAACCGGAGATCGGTCTTGAAGTCCTGCGCGATCTCTCTGACCAGCCGCTGGAACGGAAGCTTCCGGATCAGAAGCTCCGTGCTCTTCTGGTACTTCCGGATCTCCCTCAGCGCCACTGTCCCCGGCCTGAATCTGTGGGGCTTCTTCACTCCTCCGGTGGCCGGAGCCGACTTCCGAGCGGCCTTCGTCGCCAGCTGCTTCCGCGGAGCCTTGCCGCCGGTGGATTTCCGGGCTGTTTGCTTGGTGCGAGCCATTAATGCGTTGCAAAGAGAAGCTTCGAGAGAAAAGTGAAGAGATTTGGAGATCTTTTTTTTTTTGTGAGGAAAAATGGAGGGAGACGAGTATTTATAGGAGATTATGGGGAGAATGTGGGCCGTCGATTGGATTTTGTGTGGACGGTTGAGATCTTGCTTTGAGTTGATCACGCGGATCGTGATCCGCGCGCTTTGCGGGATGAAAATTTGCCAGAGGGAACCAAAAGGTCCAGAAGGAAAAGTTTTGGCGCCAAGTTTTAAATTTTCTGTTTTTAAAGATTTCATTTGTTTGCCTATAACTTCTTTTTGTGTGTTTTAAAAAAAATATTTTAATTTGTCAAATTTAAAAATGACTTTTTTTTTTACTTCAAAAATTAAAAAATGACTTCTTTGATAGTATTCTTGGGTGAAAGAAAATATAATTGTTGTCTCCAAAATTTAAGTGATTAGAATTTTTTATTTCTATATTTTCATTCGTTGCAAATATGGTTTTTTTAAGTACAACATGTGGGGTGGATGGTGAGAAATCTAACTCACAAATTCTTAGTTGGAGATATATGTCAATCATTCAAAATGCCTCGTATTAATGGAAACGTTGTCCATATCTTATATACTTATGAACTTCTCTTGCTCTAACAAATGTGGGACATTCGTCGCATTTCTAACAAAATTCAATTGAAATGATCGATCTAATATGATTTAAGAAGAGAGTTTTGTATGCGTAATTCAATATTGATTGTAAAAATGGCTAACTTTTAATTTTTGATCTTATTCTCTAGTCGTGGTCTCATGCAGTAGGTTCAGGAATCAAACCACGTTAAGAACATCTTTATGTTGTCTCTATTTATTGTATTGTTTTTAATTCATCATTACAACGGTCAAGAAACTTCAAGATCCATAAAATTTAGATTTTATTAACGGTTCAATATTTTAGTACAACAAATTAGAGTTTTTATAATTTAGCCCATGAATTTTACTACGTAACAATTTAGTTCTCGTAGTTTAAAATTTGTAAAATTTTAGTCCCCGTTGGATTTTTAAAGTGTGAAATAAAGTGGAATTTGAAAATATTAACAAACAATTGAATATTATAATTTAATATCTAGAAATTAAATTTACGTATACAGTGTGAATTTTATTTCATTTTATTTATCAATTATTTATTTATTTTTTTAGTTGGTATGTTTCTTCGTTTTATTAAAATTGAAGTTATATGTTTAAATAAAGAGTGGCTTCTTAATTTTGTTAAAATTACATATGTACTAAGTTACTAAATTTCGTGTGAGGGGCCAAAGCGAGCATAATCAGCAGTAATTGACATATATCTCCAACCAAGAGGTTATGAGTTCGATCCTCCATCCTCACATTACTAAAAAAAATTGTGTGAGTTGTTACATGTTTGTACTCTTTTCTGCCCGATCATTTTGTAACTTCCACCTCCACATGTTGTACTAAAAAAAACAATATTTTTCACAATAAAGATTAAATCGTTAAAAATTTTAAACCTCAAAGATTAAATTGTTACATACTAAAATTCAATGAAAATACACGGACAAAAAATGAATTTTAACCAATTTTTTTAAAAATTATAAATAAAATTACATTTTTAGTCCTTCCAATTTAGACTTGGTTTGTAAGCGGGGGTGTTTTCAAGCCAATGAATGAAGTTGTGTTAACCTGGAGTGATTTAATATGGGGAGTAAATCTGAAGTTTCTTTTTAAGCAAGTAAATCTCCGGAGTTAATTGTTGGAAATTGAAGGAAGAATTAGATAAAAACAATTGTTGTGTTGTGGAAGAACTACTTTCTTGAAAGCAATTTCGGCACGACCACGTGTTATATCGTATGTTGTCGATTAATCCCCGAAATTAATACAACTTCCAACTCAAGCGCCGGAGCAGAATGGAATCGAAGAACGTGCTCATAATTTTTACAAAAGTTTTTCAACCTCTCAAGAATCCCCCTCGATTTCGTTTAAAAGGAAAGTAAATAATACGTTTTAACTGAATTAGTTAATTAAAACGTTACAACCATGATAAATTAATAAATTAAAACGTTAAATAATTAATCCTTTAAAGATGACATATAGTGTTGAATTTAATCATTTAAGTTAGATATTCTTATAATTGTTTTATATTGTTGATGTCGAGCCTATCTCGAGAAATTGGATTCCTCTCACTAGGTCGAGCATACAAAAACACAAACACTCATCTATTATTATGTGGGGAAGCATTAAAGTTTTTTTCCCCTCACAACGTTTAAGTCGAAGACAGGTGTCTTAACCAAATGAGCTATCCTCAAGTTGACTAATGAATATTAGAGTTTGTTACTTAGTTAGTGAGTTTTATGCCAACATGAGCATAGCTCCGCAGTAATTGAGAGCTACTCTTTTCTTTGAGGTTGGAAGTTTAAATTCCCACACGCTAGTAGGTTCTACTAAAAAAAATTAGTGAATTTTATAATCCAACTGTGTTAGATGTTTCTTGTACTAAGACCTATTTATGTTGACCCCTAAAGTGTACAAAAATTAATTGAACTTTTTTAGTACCACACGAACAAATGGGGTTTGACATGGGTCAATTATCGTCTAAGCTAAGCTGAAGTTAACACTCTCAAAACTTAATATAAACACATGCCCTCTGACATTTAGATTTAATTTTTATTTGGCCTTGAATATAAAATAGAAAAATGCAGACACCCCGTCTTTCTAGTTAGTCCAATTTAGCTTTTCGTCCTACTTTGAATTTTTTTTGTTATGAATTTGAAATTTCGGGTTTTCTTGCTTGCAAAAATGGCTCGAGGGTTCGATGAAATTTGGTAAATTGGTTCGAAGCTGCTTGGAAAAATGCAAATATATGGTGGAAAAGACTCTAGCGTTTGTTGCGGCTATGGCGAATTGATTTATAAGTTATAACCACTCGACAACTGTAAGTCTTGATTTCACTCCCAATTAATTTTTAAGTGCAAGGTTGCTCAAATTGTTGATATGTAGCGCCACAAGGATGAAGCGTTAAGGTCCAAGGTTCAAAATGTCAATGTTAATGAAAATGTCGGGATCCTGATTTTATGGACATGTCGATGTCGACAGATATTTTGAAAAAAATAACGAAAATTGTAGATATGGATGTAAATTTTCTGAATTAGTAGACACGACTTTAATTGTAGTTTGATTAGTATATAACTATCACTTTTAACCATCATATCTAAATATATAAATAATATATTTATGAAAATATCATTACGACGAAAACATCCAAACAAAATCATATATAATATATGGAAATTATTTGAATTATAAAATTAAAGTTTAGTGTTAGCTAGATTATGCATTATGGATAATTTCTAATTCAATCACATTTTTAGTTACATAATTGAAAAAATAGATAAGCATAGAGGATGAAATAACATTTAAAAAAGTTAGATTTAATTTAAAATTCAAATGTTTGATAATAATGACAAATTCATTTTCTTTTATTTATAGTTTGTTTTTATTTTTAAATCGAAAATCGATTCTTTAAGATTAACGCTATTTCTTCTTCTTCCTCCGTCTCTTCAGGGGCCGTTCAGTGAAATTCATTTTTCATCTTTTTGTGTTGTATAAATTTCTCTCTCCTCCATGTTCACAGATTGGGGGATGCTGTTTCTCTCTCTTCATATTCTCTTATTCCCTTTTTCTATTTCTCCCTTTTGAAGACCCTATTTTTCTTTTGAGCTTGCCGCCAATTTCACCATCAGATGTATAGGTTTGTGTTTTTTCTCTGCTCTATTTCAATGGATCCTCTTTAGACACTGTGAAGGACCCACCAAGATGATCTATGTCGAGCAAGGTATGCCTGGGAAGTGTTCGACAAAATGCCCAAGATTATCTCTCACCATCCAAGGTATGCCTAAGAAGTGTTTGATGAAATGCCCAAGTGTTCTACATTCTTAAAACATAGCGAATAATCGAAATTCTAAACTTGAATTTGTTGTGCAATCATTACCCAATATAGCCATAGGAGTGTTTTTTAGTTGGATCAGAATATTTTTGTGGGGATGTTTTTTTTTTTTTTTTTAGTTTTTGAGCTGTGGAACTTTTTGACCTGTTTGATTTTGTAGTTAGGTTTGGATATTTCCCTTCTTCAATTTGTGACTTGGTGTTTTCTAATCCACCTTCAAGAATATATTAATTTCACCGCTAGTTTAAAGCTAATGTTTTCTCTATTTTTTGTGCAAAGTTGTTGGAATTATGCTGATGGAGTTCATATGTTGCTGATGGTGTGAAGAAGATGGTGACTTGGTTGTTTAGCAGCGTCAAATTCTCTGGTTTACTATGTAAATACAAGAGAGAATTGAACTTAAATTACTTGCAAAATCGTTATCTGGTAAACATAAAACTGAAATGGGTGAAAGACAAAGACTTGGATACTGTAGTAAGTACTGAGAAGGACCTCAAGGCTGTTTGCTTTCTTGTTTCCATAATCTCTTCAAGTCCCGACTGTTGCCTTCCGATCTACCGTCTGCGTTGCCATCGTCGGCAGCTGGGTCTTCCACATGATGTCAAGATGTCTACCTTCATTAGGAGATACCCTTCTATCTTTCACGAGACGCATATTCTCGACACTGGAGGCACTCGTGTGCCATCGTTTGGCTTAACTCGAGAAGCTATGGAGCTTAATGAGGAGCAAATCTATGTCCTTCAGCAGTGTTGGATGGATCTTCGATCTAGGCTTTGCAGATTGCTAATGCTCACGAGTGGTTCGACACTTCCTTTACAGACGATTGACCAGTTGAGATGGGACTTGGGACTACCGTATGATTATTGGAACTCTTTCATTCCAAATCACCAGGACTTGTTTTCGTTCGTCCAGCTTCGAGATGATCGCGTCGGGTTGAAACTTCTGTCCTGGGATAGTGACCTTGCTGTTTCTGAACTGCAGAAGAATGCTGCTTCCCAACAGATGGAAGAAGACATAAGAAATGGCTGTTTGGCCTTTCCAATTGGATTTACAAGGGGTTTCGGATTGAGGAGAAGATGTATGGATTGGTTAAAAGAATGGCAGAAGCTCCCTTACACTTCTCCATATTTTGATGCCTCCCATTTGGATCCCCGTACCGATGTGTCTGAAAAGAGGCTTGTCGGAGTCTTTCATGAGCTTCTTCACCTTACCTTGCAAAAGAAAACCGAACGCAAGAATGTAAGCAACCTCCGCAAACCTTTCTCTATGCCCCAGAAGTTCACCAAAGTGTTCGAGCGCCATCCTGGTATCTTTTACATCTCTAAGAAGGGTGACACGCAGACTGTAATTCTTCGTGAAGCATACGACGGTGACAAACTTCTACAAAAGCACCCTCTTGTTTGCATCAGGGAAAGATTTGCAAGCATGTTGAAGAAAGGCCAACTAGATAGAAGCAGAGGTTTATACAAAAAAGAAGATCAATTTGGACATTTTCATCATCTTGAAGTCGAAGAGACTCAATATAGTTCTGAAGAAGCATCTGACTATAACTTGCTTTCAGAATATGACTCGGAATCGGATGGCCCAATCGACAATAGATGTTGAAGAAGTTGCCATGACTATAGAATATTCAGCTTTCAGCATTCTTTTTTTTTTCACTCACAGGTTGGTTGCCAGAGATATGGTACAAGCATCCTTAAGTTTTGTGGTAACTTATTTGCAACTTGTGTATTGTATATATAGTCATAGAGAAAATGACATTATAATTTTTGACCCTTTAAAACATGTTAAATCAACCACTAGACTCTAGAACTTAGTGGATAGTTTGGATATAGAGAATTTGAAGGTCGATCGCATGAATTGAAATTGAAAAAGAGGGAATCTACCGATCAATCGCATGAATTGGCATTGAAAAGGAGAGAATCAATGGGTAAAATGTATAATTCATTCTATTATGGCATGGAGAAAAGGTAGTGTTGTACATATACTATGTTGGTAATAAAAATTGAGGTATATCCTCATTTATGGATGTTCAGTTTGTATACAAATTGTGATAAGAATACGAACATTACCAATCAACCAGCAACTCACCTGTAGAACTCTCGATACGTTGTTAGAAATTTAAAAGCAGGCAAAGAATAAGGCAAACGAACTTCGTGTCGAGCTGCTTTCATAGAAAAGAATGAAATACAGACAACTTTTGCTCTTCATCAGACGTGCAATGTGAGGGACTTCCTCCAATGAGATCATTAAGTTGGTCATCCCAATCTACAACTCTCAAGTAAAACTGGTACAACCCTTTAAACATGTATGAACTTGGAACTTGGTTTATTGGTAGCCGCCACCGTATGATTGTTGGGGGGCATAACTGCCCATCATTGGGTTGTAACTACCCAAAGCATTCGATCCAGGTGGAAATCCAACCGGAGGTCGAAATTGCATTCCTTGTCCCATACCCATATTCATGCCCATGCCCGGGTTCATTCCCATTCCCATCCCCATTCCTGGATTCATGCCCATTCCCATACCCATTCCCATTCCCATTCCCGGATTCATTCCGGGATTGTTCATCCCCATTCCTGGGTTCATACCTGCATTGTTCA